GCGCAGGCCTCGCGCCGGCGGCCGCAGCCAGAAATGCCGAGCCGGCCGGGCTCTCCTGGTCTTTATATTCCAGTTGTCTCCCACCTGGAGGCGCGTGGCCAGCGCCTGCGGGGGTTCAAACCCAGCTCTGCCGCCCCTGGCTCTGTGCGGCGGGACTGTACCTGGACCTCTCCAAGCTTCAGTATCCTCCCTGTGAAACGGTAGCGAATGCTAGCGCCCAGCAGATGTTAGCTATTGCTGTTTTTCATGCTGTTTATTTTTATTTTTTTAAATATATCTTTATGGATTTTATAGAGGAAGGGAGAGGGAGAGAGATAAAAACATCAATGATGAGAATCATTGATCAGCTGCCTCCTGCACGCCCCCTACTGGTGATGGAGCCCACAACCCAGGCATGTGCCCTTGACCGGAATCGAACCCGGGACCCTTGAGTCACCAGGCTGATGCTCTATCCACTGAGCCAAACCAGCTAGGGCCATGCTGTTTATATAAAGTTAAATTTTAAGTAAATGGATTTAATTTTTATTTAATTTTTTAATTAAATTTTTGTTTAATTTTTTATATTTTTATTGAATTCAGAGAGGACGGAAGAGGGAAAGAGATAGAAATATCAATGATGAGAATCATTGATTGGCTGGCTCTTGCACATCCCCTACTGGGGATTGAGCCCGCAACCCCGGGCATGTGCCCTGACCGGGAATCTAATGGTTCATAGGTCGATGATCAACCACTGAGCCACGCCTGCTGAGCGATTTAAGTTTTTTGAAATATAAAACTAAGTGAATAATGGGAATGCTAGGCTGAACATACGTTAGTCTAAGAAAGGATTCTGCCAGCCTCCAGAGTGAATTTGGAGGATTCAACGTCCTTGCTTGGGGTCTGGGATTAAGCCCGCTCGGAAGATGGGGTGGGGTGCCCCCCCTCCCACCACCTCCCAGTTGCATGAGTCTCCTAGGACCCCTAGGGTCCTAGTGCAGTAAGTAGTGGCACATCCATGCTGGAAAGTAATATTGTCAGCGAAAAGAAGCAAGACATTTGCTGGATGAATATTTACCTCAATATTTTAAAATGGTGTGTGTGTGTGTGTGTGTGTGTGTGT